TTTGTAGGCTCGGTTGGAGGTTATCGCGAGGTCAGTGCAGCGATGGGAATGTCACGAATCTACGTGATGGAGATTACTACGGAAGTGGTACGGGTTTTAAGAGACGTCACCCCATTTGTAGTGGCATTTCCGCGTGATCAGAACGGTTGGAATGCAGTAGAAGCGGGTTTTGCCGCAAGGCACGGTTATCCCGGAGTGGTTGGGGCAATTGACAGGTCCCTAGTTGGAAACAAGTGCCCTAATGACTTTGATGGAATTTACTGCCGAAAATGCTATCCTGCATTAAATGTGCAGACAATTGTAGCGCCCAACAACTTGTTCATGAGTGCCGAAGTTCGTCCTGGATCGTGGTTCGACCGCAAGTGCTGGCAGTACAACTAAATTGGTCGTACACTCTACAGTACAATTCCTCCTGGTACTCATTTTATTGGAGACGCCGGCTATGCACTGCTGCCTGGGCTAATAGTTCCCTACTGTGATCGGGAAGAAGGTGGATCGCTGACCCCTCGGCAGAAACAATTCAATTATTTGCATTCCAGCACGCGTATATCTGAAGAGAGTATCTTCGGGATTTGGAAGGGGCGCTTTCGAATGGTACAAGGCATGATGAGTCAGGAAACACCTCGTGGTGCCGCAGAGTTCTTAGTAGCGATAATGGTTCAGCACAATTTGATGATCCTCTACCGGGACACTGCCTGCATAACTCTGTTCGTTGAGGGCGACAACAATGACGACGCTTTTAATGTAGAAGATTTCACATGTGATCAAAGAAGGGTTGGAATCTTCAAGCGGAACGCAACTGCAAGTCATAGTTGCAGTTAACGATTGGAACAAATGCAAAATAGCCTGAGCCCTAGTTGTTGGTGCTTTGCCGGAATGCAAACGAACCATGTCACGTCTACTTTTATCCTGTTTTCCGGACAATTTAACTTTATATATATTGTTATACTGGGAATAATAACTCCCAATACCGAGTATACTTCCTACGGTGTGTACGTGCTTTTTTATTCCATGTAAGGGCAAAACGTTGACGGTGGGGACACTTGAGGCTCTAGTGACTGTCCTTCATCTATACTGTGACAAGCTGAACTGTTGAAGACGTCTGAAACATACGTATATACTCTGAGAAACGAATTGTAGCAATTAGAAAGATTTAACAATATTGAAGAAACGTATACACACAAGCATTTAAAACGCCAACTTTGGTCAGCAACCCACCAAGAAAATGCGATAAGGAAAACTTGTTTGCCTGCTGTCGTGGACCATTACGATGCCTTGAGGTGTCTTGAAGCGTCATTGATTTTGAAGTTACACCTATCGTGACGCCGAACAGTTTGCCAACCTCATGTGTGTATTTGCCCGTGGTAAATACATTAACATATTGCATTGCTATTTTTGCTACTTACCTAGCAATTCATTATCACGTCTACTTGCTCATTCTCTTCCAATATCTGCTGACTCGTTTAGTCGGACAAAACAACAGTAAATCCGTAGATTAGCCCGTTTCCATGTATAGTTCGAGGGCTGAAGTCCTCTAGACCAAATGCAAAAAAAAAGGATTCCAAAGTTGACTTTGGCCTTAGGACCTTTCTGCATATGCAGATGCGCTTCCTTCTCTTCAACTCTTGCAAATGAAGCTATAAAACTAACCATCATAATTTAAGCATTGCTTTTTTTAAGCATTGGAGCACTTTGTCGAGGCTGACTTATTTTTTTTTGCTTATAATTAATTCGCTTGTTTTTTAGCAGCTTTGCCTTAACGGCCTCCCTTTCCAGAACTTTTTAGTTATTGATTTTAAACTACCTCCCTGTGCCAGTAAAATTGACGATAACTCGACGCTAGTATACTTTCTCTACGAAGCACGAACTTCGGTCAGTCGGAGTTGAGCGTATGTTACTTATATGAGGGCACTACACGTATGTACCTTACGCCCATGACGATAACAAAGCTGTAGTTGCATAAATTCAGTGCTGTTCCGTGCGAATCGCGGCTTTGTATGATGAGCTGTTTCAATCCGGTTGAATTCGTTTGATACTCTTGTAAACAGACGGGGGAGGAGACGGTTTCAGTCCGTTTGTGGCACTTGATGGCCGTCCGTTTACAGGATCTTGAGGGAGAGATTCCCATCTATTTAGCAGGGACAGTATACACTGCACTGCCCCTTTGGCAGCACGTATCACGTTATGTGTGTCACCAATGTTCATGTTGCTCGGTATATAAATCCTGACGTGATTCACTCGTCATCAATTCTCAGTTTAAAAATATTTAGGAAAGAGAACGGCATTGAAACCTGCAGAAACTGCTATTTTTACAAGCAATAGGGAGGCTATGTTTGCGGCGTGTTTTTCGTGTCATCATTGCTTGCGGTTCTCATCTTACAAATCTTTAGGTGAGAATCGTCCTCAAATCTGCAGAACAGCACCAACCACTGTATTACAGTGACTGTAAACGTAGAGGACAGCACGAACTCTTTTTGAACAATGTGCAATACCAGTGCCTGCATTACTCTCACTCATCGTTACTGCGGATGGCCCTCGGTCGTAACTTTACTGCCTCATTCAAGAATTTTCGTTCGTTTCACCAACCGATTTCAACAAAAATGCGCGTGCTACATTTCGTGCTGGCCATTGTGGCCGTCTCGGTGTCTATCTACAATGGTGTCTCGATCGCTGCTCGGACCGCGCTGAAGTCGGATTCAAAGGACTATATCGCGCTCAGAGGTAATATTGCAAATGCTGAGACGGATTCGGAAGAAAGAAAAGGAGGCGTAGGTGGTGGACGTGGTGGGCGCGGAGGGCGCGGAGGACGTGGGGGTGGACAAGGGAGAGTGTATCGGCCAGTAGCAGGAGGGCATGGAGGACTTGAAGAAGAAAAAGTTGTCGATTTGCCACCTGGAGTTCACGTTGGTCCGGTATTCGGTGGTCCCCATGGTGGTCACTACACAGACCTAGCCTTGGTTAAGTCTGGACAAAAAGTGTTGTCCATCAACCTACGCGCTGGGGAGCGCGTCGATGCCATTTACCTCACCATCTTGAATCCATCGGGGGAAGAGACTATCTTGTTCCATGGCGGTCATGGTGGTACCCTGAAAACCCCTTTGGTGTTAGGTAAGGGTGAATACATCACTGGCATGGAGGCGCACGAGGGAAAGCACAACAAGCGTACGCGCATCCAGTACGTCAAGTTTATCACCAATTTGGGGAATTCTATCGAAGGCGGCACACGGACGAAAAAGATTGGAACGGATACTGCGCCGAATGGCTGTCAGTTGGGTGGTTTTGTTGGCAGAAGCGGTAACGAGCTTGATCAGGTCAGTGCCATCTGGACAAGCATTCAGCCTGCGGCGTAGACTTGAGCGCCCTACACTTCAGATGGCTACAGACACTGGTGACTTGTCCATGGAGCGCTTCGAGGTAAAAGTTGCTACTGTATCGCATCAGGTAAACCGGTCTGGTAGATTGTGTGGTAACAATGATAAATACTTCAACGTATAATGGTGAAGGTGCCAATATAGTCCATATACTGCATTGTCTGATAGGAGCTCCATGTTTACGATATTTTATTCGATACAAATGGGTGGTCACAACTTGTTAAAAATCGGCTTATGTGTCCCGTAATCAGCGAAGCAACGTTGACCCGCGCTGCAAGCTCTGCTACATGATCGGGGGTACTTACTAGTGCAACACCACGGTATTGCTGACCTGCAACACTAAGGTCTAACAACCTGACTAAGTTTATTTATTCAGGTTTCAAAATGATAGGCCGTTCTGATAAATTCTGGTCCAAGTATGTAGTATCACGGGGAGTTACAGGATGGATGTCATGGACTGAAAACTATATCACTGTTAGACTAGATGATGCGGTCTTGTATCTTAGTGGTTCGGCGGGATGGGATTTGGGGTTGGACCATGACATCCCTGCATCTCGTTATGTATAACAAATCCCGTGCCACACCGACACCCCTCGCTCGGGACATGAGTCTTGTAATGATGGGATGTCGCCCATACAGACCTAGCCGCGTCCCGCAAACTCGAGGTTCAATCCCTCATCCCGCGAGATACTAGAGGGGAATTAGGCTGTTAGTGATGAGTAAAAGCACTATTTGATCTAGAATATCGTCTACGACTACGCTGAAACATTTTTATAGCGTCACAGTACTCACCGAAATTATTTTCTCCATTTCTCGCCGATAATTCCAACCAAGTCATATTTGAAAGATGGAGAATCTTGGTCTGGAACCTTTGGAACTCAACTAATCGGATCGGACACTTTTGCATGTCATCCTAACTACTTTCGAAAATACATCCTGAACCCCAAACGCAACCACGGCTACCAAAAAAGCCGAACTGAGCCAGCATTTTTGGCTAGCTCCAGTGTCCGATTCAAAACACTAAAGTAACCGAGTCAAAATACCCACCCGCACAAGAGCCCGATGCGTCTGCCATACGTGTTGCTGCTAGTACTCTGTATCGTCATCACCACATGTGTCTGTCTGCTGCATTCGGAGATTATGACCACGGAGCCGCTGCCTTGCAAAACAAACTGAGCTTCGAGGCTCACATCGCTCTCTTGCTTCCGTTAAATACAGCGATGCGGCTGGCAGACGCCTTTTAGCACTGGTGAATTGGCGACTGAGGACGTCGATGTCCATGCTGAAGAGAGGGCCATACCAGGCTTATCGACGCTACGCGAGATGGAAGAGGAAAATCCAAGGTGAGCGACCAACAGTTGTGGAGGAAGTACAGGAAATTGATTAAAGACGGATTTTCGGGCGAAGACATCGCCGGGGCGAGGGTACGCAAAGGGGAAAAGCTGGATAAAATTTACGACAACTGGATTCGACTCGGAAAGTCCAGTAGACAAGCAGCGAACAACTTGTTGAAGCAGAACAAAACACCGAAAGAGCTCTTTGCGGTCTTGAATAATCGAGACATGGACCTGGAAGAAATCTACAAGATTTGGCGTGCTGTCGAACTGGATGAGCCGCAACTCTACAGAATTTGGGCGAGGTTGGCAGGGAACAATTGATGACGATGTCTACACAGTTTGGTCCAACGCTGGAAAGAGTACGGAGGACACTTAGCAAGGTGTTGCGGTCCGACGATGTGAGCTATTTCGTCGATATAAACCGCGAAGTTAGGAACCAAGGCATGACGTTTCTGCGAGATACTGCCTAGTAGAATACTACTAGTTGAGCGGAATAACAGGGGAAACTACTCGGTGGTAGATATGCTATTGTTTCACGCCTGTCACATCACAGAGCAACTGTATCCATGCCTTCGCTACCATTTCGGCACACAAACGAGCTCACCCACTCTTGATACATTGACGGTGCGGGCGGGTCCTCAGTTTAAGGTGGTGAGTTGCAACCTTCGCGTCGTCCAGCATCATAACCCACTCCCGATTCCTCTCTACTGCACACGCAGGCGTACGAAATTTGCAGAGGTGCTGGGCTCCTCGATTTTAGTCGGACAGCTTCATCAGTTGTGGGCCGTATTCTCGCCTATTCAACCACTACAGTTAACATGTAATATAAGGTACCAGAGATGCCAGAACAGGAGTATTGACAACTGGTAAGCAGATATCATATAACGGCAAAACTGATGACAAAACGTATTCACGATCCGTTGATTCAGCATGTCATCTGGCTTGTCGTTATCGAGCTCGATGCTACCGTTTGCAATCATGTGTGTCATTACTTCAAGTATATGTGAAGGCAGGAATCAGTGCGACACAACGGACCCACGAGTCTCATAGAAACTTCACCCGTGAAGCCCGATGTATCGATCCAGAAGGGTGAGATATCGAGGCGACCAAGGAGCGAGTCATGGTAGAAAAAGGAGAGTCATCAGTCTCAGTCCAAAGTAGGCTATTTTAGGGATAATGACCGCTAGACAGATTTTTCCATCAACATTTTATACAATCGAGGTTTGAATATTGGGTAGTTTTTTTTTTCATGTCTGTAGCGTCTACATGTACAAGATTGATGGCACATAACGACAACAGTGATGTATGATAATCAAAAAGAATAATAACCGCTATTTTTAATTTAAAACTAACAAAATCGTGCCTTGCACGAAGAAGCTCTGAAATTTGAAGAGCAACGATATTTTAATAAGAAGAAATCGTTCTTTTGATACTTGTGGTGATGCTTTGGTCTGGGAGGACGGCTACGAGCAGGGCACTGAACAGACCAGGTGAGGAAACGACATACAGGACATTTTTCGGGCGGAAAAACCGGCATCATCAATCCGAAAAACCTGAGAGGGGGTATTTAGCAGGATTGTGTTCATTGCATGCATTGAAGCTGGCTAACGACGTTGATAGCCATTTCCTTACAGCTGTTATCGACATGTAGTAAAAATCTGCAAAGTGTTTTCATTGATATCGTTATTTTACTTCTACGGTGATCGTTGTTCATCGCAAATAACTCCACAAAACAGTTCTGGTGATGTCCTTAGTGCTTCCAACAAAGTGGTGGGCCGTCGGCAGCCCACCACTGTCTCCACTAGATTGGAATCAATATCATTCTAAGGGATACTTTGGGCAAAGGCAAACTGAAATTCAGGAAAAAGAATTTAAATATAAGTACCGCACATCGTTTCTTCAGGCAACATTGCGAAGACCACCAGGCACAAGATGTGCAAACATATTTATTTTCAAAATCTGTGGGCTATGGACTCAGGCGACATTTGCGAATTAAAGGCTGGGGTTCCTACCACAGCTGTAATAACATGGGTTAGGCAGTTCAGCCAGCTAAAGCTGTTCTCCCATAAAATTTGGTAAGCGGGAACGCTTTAATTGTAACTGCCATACATTTTTTATATACTATTGTAATAAAATCTGCGAGCCGAGTAGTAGCCCTAAGCCAATTGTAAGAAAACTGAAAGTTTCGTATTTTCTGTCCTGAATCTTCTGCGCCTGCAGCCGCAGCATCTGAAGCGTATACATGTACACACCCATGAAACTGTTTGAAACCCACATTGGAACCTAGCAGTTGTAAGTTTTCATTAATCCGTTAGACAACTATTGCTTTGAAGCCATGAAGTACAAAAAATCGAGTTCAATGCCCAGTACATCAAATACGGAAAGAGGTAGGGCCCTTCGTCAGCTATCTTTACGATAAATGCTGCGGAGCTGCCTATCAACCAATCAGATGTTAATCAATTAAGTAACTGAGGGCTCCAATTAAGCTACTATAAATGATTGTCAATCACAAACAGCGTACGAAATATACTACAACAGGGAGAGCGCTGCATGAATTAAATATGTGTCGGCTGCGTAGCAGCTTATCTTACGGTAAATGCTGCTATCCCAGAATAAATAAGCTCAACGATATAGCAAGACGTATTCCCTATTTAAAGGTTAAAGCAACGTCCTTTGTCAGCGCATCTCCTACGCCTGCTCCGCAGCCACAGCATCTACCCGTGTACTTGCTGTAGCAGCGGATGAAAGCGCTCAAAGTATCCACGCATCCTGTGTCACAGATTAGCGCGGAGGAAGCGATGTAGCGTGGACGGCGAGTACGGGCGCCGAATACAGTAGTAGGTGGAAGAGGTGTTGTTGCTCGAAGGCAAATTGA